AGTAAGGCGTAAAGAGAGTTACTCTAGCTTTAAATCCGAATTGAAGATTGAAAGACCATTTATTTACTTAAAAAAAAAAAAAAAAAAAAAAAAAACAAACAAACAAACAAAGAGCTTCAAAAATAAAGGATTACACTTTAGAAACAAATAAGAATAAGTACGCCAATAAACTTTTTACGTTGTAAAAACAATTGGAAATTGGAAGCAACACGTTCAAGCCTCACTCGACAGTGACTCATAATCCATAGTCGATGATATATCGAAGTAGCAGTGCTTCGGTTGCATAAACAAAAGCTGCTTCGCGTGTGGCATACTTATTAATGGAGATTTTTCCGCTCTACGCAGGTCAGATTAAATATGTGTATATAAATAATTAAAAATACAAATGTATATATACACATATATTGAATTGTTGACTAACTTGATTCGCAAGCGCCGATTTTTTTTTTTTTTTTGTCAGTAAGAATATGTTTATAGCATAACGCTGAGACAAGTTTATGGATATTTTAAATAAGGCATTTTAGCTGAAGCTTACATACATACAGTCAGCAAATAAAGTTTAGATGCACAACGATTTTTAAGCTTAATTGTTGAATGCATGCTTTTCTTGTTTTTTGTCATACTTTTAAGTATACATAATTCTTTTGTTATACCTTGAACCCATTAAAAATTGGAGCAGGCAGAAGGAATCATCGCAGAGAAAAATTAATTTCGTTTTTTCAGCCTAATTTGAAATATAATATTCTGCTTACAGGAAGTTAACATTTCTGCCACATGCTAAGCCTAATATCATTTGCATAGTATTTGACATCGAGTCTAACCGTTGCCAAGCAATGATGAATCTTAACAAGCTCTGTAAGTGCCGCTTGGCCCCTGGAGGTACTTATCTTTTGCGGGGGCATCTTAGACACTTATAACAGCAGTAGCCGAAGAAGTTGCAACAACAACAACAATAGTGACAGCAAGTGTCAAGCAATGCGTGTCAAGCTGACGCGCATTCAATTAAACGCGCCGCGAGCAATCAAAGCAGCAGACCCAGAGACCACCGAGCGGGATTGGGTACCACAAAAAATAAACAACTAGCTGTCGTCTATCGCCGACTGTGGAATACTCTGTAATTACCATAAAACATCCACGGAGTCACAGAATCGTTAATGAGATGGAAACGATTAACAAAAATGTATTGTTATTGGATTGTTATTGTTATTGTATAGATATTTATGTAGGTAAGTTCATTAGCAATACTTGATATTATGCGTCAATACTCTACAATCAATATGCTTTCATTCACCTCATGCAAATGTATGAGTATGCAAGCAAACAGAAAGGCAGAAAAAGCAAACAAAACGCAAAACAAATTCTTGAAGCTCAGTAAGCTGCGCAGCTGCACTGACGCTGCTCAGTGCTCAGTACAAGCGAGATAGAAACACAACGGGAGAGTAATATCCAGCGCTGTTTGCGCTGTTTGCGCTGTTGCGGCTCGTAAATGTTTCGTTGTTCCGTTTTGGCGCTCAGTTTGACATTTGCACGCGCTTAAGCCGGTCGCGACTCACGACAACCGAAAGCTCTGGCCTGACCGCTGGTTAGTTGTTGATTTCGTTGCTTTTGTTTTTATTTTATTTTTTTCATTGCTTACGTTATTTGTGTGTGTTTTAAAACGGCGCCGATTTTATTTTGTGCGCTGATTTCATAGCTAATGCAAATATTTGCGCTTAACTGTTTGCTGTCAAATTCTCATTTGCTTTTGTGGTTCATGCCGTTAATGATATACACATATA